TCCTGTTTGAGAAAAAGAATAGCAGTCAATAAGGATGATAAACATGAAGAAGAATGTACAAGATGTTAAAAAATGCACATACTTGCGTTGGTCACAGAGGCTGAGGTGTGTTCCTTCATTAAACAGCACACCGATATTTTGGTTGGACAGCTGGTATCCAAAGCCATATTTGTTAGAGTAGTCTACCCATTTGGTCACCCACAAAAAGGACTGTGGCCTGGAGAGGCAGGGTGGGTTTCTGGTAGCTGTAGAATAGACATGACATATTAGAAAACGATACTGTGCAAATATTATTTTAGTTCACACTAAACAGGTTAGGCTGGGCTTCATGAGTTTCGTACCTGCTGGCATGTTTGCTAAGCAGCCGTTCAGAACTTTCATGGCCGCTTCAGCGACAGCTGCAGGAGTCAGCACATCCTCACATGCTGCAGAGACAAAAACACATGTGATCCCGTTAGCATGAGGAAACTCTACAATTATATGCTTTTCAGGAGGGATTTGAACTTACGTTCAGAGCTGCTGGCCATGGTGCCTTTAAAGGAGCGAGAGATGGACTTCCTGGATTCTTCCTCAGCAGGGGTCTGTTCCAGGGGCACTGAGCTGACCAGCTGACCAGCGGGGGAGGGCGCCTGCAGAGCAAGTCAACATTTATTCCATCAATAGCACAAACCAGCATTTCAACCATGAAACATCAGCTCTACAGGATTAGGCCAAATGAAGCATAAAAAGGGCAAAGAAATGCAAGAGAAGTTAGCAGCTTCATACAGTGACTTGTGTGTAATCATATTTTTTCTGTGCCCCAGTCACCTCTGCAATGCAACACTGAGTAAAAAGTTCAGGACTAACCTCAGCAACAAATACACAATGAATTTACATAAATGTCTAGGTACTTTTGGTTACCATATTGTTCAACATTCTAATTGCCATCTTTTTACTTCCTGCTTCACTACAATCAGGTTCTCATTCTAAATATAGAAAAAAATGGCCCACTCAGTGAGCACTTTGTGACATTTTGGCATCAGTCTATTTTTTTACACATCTCATTTGTGATACTACTACAAAAAAACAAAAAGCACACACCTCATTGGGTCCCACTGTTTTGTAGCTGATCTGCCGATTGATGGAACATTTAACAATGCCAGACACCAGCTTTGAAATGTCCTTGTCATCTTTGTCTTCGCAAGGCATCTTTTCCACTGCAAAACAACAAAATGGATTCAGCATAGACATACCAACTTTATTACTTTAACACACTCAATCAAGGGGACAATAGGACAGGACACAGTGGTATGGTAGACTTGACACTGTGGTCATGGCTTCAGCTTACCTTTTGCCTTCTTCTTGCCAAATAGACTCTTGGCCATTTTTGTAAGGAATTTCTTGGCAGGACTTGGCGGGTGGAGTTCTGGCACCATCACACAGCTGCTGGGAGGGAGTTTATCGGGAGTGTAGCCCTGAAGGGGAAGAAAAAAAAAGTTGAGTTCGAGACCCAAGGAATAACCAGGAAGCATTTGGGAACAAAGAAACAATCAGAAGTGAAATGTGCTATTTATCCATACAAAATTAGTATTTACTTTGGTGAAGAATTCATGGTTGAGAATTTGATCAAGTGTGAGTCTGTCACAAGGATTCTTCTGTAAGATGCTAGAGATGAGCTTCTGAGCAGAGGGGGACAGCGTGGACGGAAGGTTATATCGCACTTCTTTAATGCATTTGTAGGTTTCCTTTAGATCAAGGGTCTCGAATGGAGGGTTACCACACATGAGAGTATACCTATAAAGAAAACAAAAATATAAATTCAGCAAACAAATTCATAGTTTTATTCAGATATTAGTTTATTAAAAATGCCAACTTACATGACACACCCAAGTGACCAGACATCAGATTCTGTGCCGTGCCCTTGTCTGTTGAGAACCTCTGGGGCCAGATAATTAGGAGTACCACAGATTGTTCTATAGAAAAAACAAGGCACACTTAATTATTTTTGTCTAATAACTCATTAATTGTATTATTAGCATTCCTTCAGCATTAATCATTTCTCATATAGGTACTGAATCTAATTTCCAAGTAAAATCATCAACTGCCACTTTAAAACCAGTTGAGTCAGGTGCTTAGCGGAAAGGGCAGGTAGGACAAAGAATGTACCTTACGTAATTAGCACTATGGAAGAGAAGGAAACTGATATCTGTGGACTGGTAAATTAATCTTTTCTTTAAAAAATCCTTACTTTTTTCGCTGCTCCACAGTTTCTAGTTTTGCAGCGAGCCCAAAGTCGCCTAACCGTAGCTCCATGTTCTCGTTGACAAAGAAGTTGCCTGAAAGAGAGAACATTCGTCCTGTCAGCATTCCACATATTGGCCATAAGTCACAGCAGATTCCAGGGATGCTTTCATGTGTTAACACATTGGACTGCTATGCCTTTCACTCCGTACTTACCTAGTTTCAAATCTCTATGCAGGATTCCTCTGCTGTGGAGGTATTTGAGGCCAGATATGATTTGTCTGAGGTAATACCGCACTTCGGGTTCTGTCAGTGTGTGTCTCGCCTTCCAGATGTGGGCTAGTGACTGCAGAGAAACAAGGCAATGGGGAAACTGTCACATCTAGTTCCATGAATGGGACTGTACTATGCTCTATGCATGCCAAGTGCCTATATATGTTCACTTGAGCAAGATTAAGCATGGTTATGTATACATAAAGGAGGCATGTTCTACTGTGGGATCTTGCGGTGGCTCACCTTTCGGCTGCATAGTTCCAGAAAGATGTAGATATTGTCTTGGTCTTCAAAATGATGGGAAAATTTGACTATATGCTTGTGTGAGAGGGATCTGTGCAAGTCGATTTCATTTGTGATCTGTTGAAAACATAATACGTTAGTCTGCTTCCATTTAAATATACTATTAATTAATTCATAATGCACACTTGTGTACCTTGTCTCTCTGATGTGGCTTGGATACTCTACTCTGTGGAATCACCTTAACTGCGTACATTTTGTTGTTGGAGAGGTCTGTCATTTCGTAGCATCTTGCAAAGCCACCCTTTAAAAGAAAAACAACTGGTCAACAACACATGCAGCAGGTCGAAAACCTGCATTAACCCCCCATCGAAAAAAAGCTCTGATTCCCAATGCTTCTGCAAGATGGGGATCCACACAGAAAAGTCTGGAAGCACCATGTCAGACAGTATCACACATAAGACCAAAATGGTCGAAAAATTTTGAATCCATCTGACTGAGCAGAACGCATACAGGGTCTTTTGTAACCTTGGGCTGCATTTGCACCTTCCAAAATGTCATTATGGAACACAGTGTTTATGGTTTTATGGTTTTATCGTACAGCTCGAGCTGCCATCTATACGTAAACGCTTGCGGACATAGGGATGAAGCAGACAGGGCTACTGCATTCATTAACCGTGAAATTGACTGAGACGTTCCCAGCTCTGCGGCAGGGGCATAGAACAATCTTGGCTACGTGCCCGATGCAGTATGTCGATGTAAATGCAACATGTTGATGTTGCCCGATTCATACGTGAAAATGCGATACCAAGCCTTCAATCTCATAAATGAAACTGTGACACTAGATGTAATGGTATGTTAGACGCATCTTTGTCTATATAAAGGGCACTCAAAATTTTCATTGATGAAAATATGAATCGTATGGTCGTGTGAGGTGGTGCCAATCATGGGCACACCTTGCGACTGATTCATTCAGCAGTGACGCGCACACAGCATGGAGAAATCACTTCATTTACCACGAGGTCACTGCCTTTTCCCGCATTAACTACTCACCTGGATAACAACTGTCAGTAAATCTGGAATCACGCAAAGCAGATACATTCAACATATTGCCTTTTGAGCGAAATATAGTTCAACATTGAGCAAGCAATACGTGCGTAAAAAGAATATGTCGTACCTTTCCCAAAAGCTTGCCTTTGCTGTAGCATCTTCCAGATTTAGGGTCCGTAATCACTTGAGCGACCTCAGGTTTGTTCTGTTCGCCCTTATTTCTACTCGTTTTCGCCGGGGCTGAGGACTGTGTGGGTCCGCGCTCCGGAGCAGGCTTGAATAAATCCGCATTCATATTGTGGCAAGAAATACGCTGCGCTGCCGAAAAACAACCGGTATCCATGGAGCACAGCAGTGCTATTGTCAGTCAGTCAAGTGTTGTCCGTATTTATCCCTTTGGCTTCAGTAGTTACTAGTTGGTTGGTTCGCACTGCCTCGATCACCTCAACCAACTGTATCTCTCTGATGCGTCTGGGAACGACTGTCAATGGCTTTATAGCTACGACGTCACGAGGAAGGGGCGGATTCAGGCTGCGCACTGGTGGAGGAAGTCCAGACATGTTCGCATCATCATCATAAAACATTAAACTGAAAACAAAGTGCCAGTAAAAATGCGTATTCAGGTGAAAAAACATCTTTGTACCGCTGATTAACCAAAGTGATAGGCTTAAGGACTACAGTAGTCTGGAAACTAAACAGACAACGGGTTATCTTGATTCCCAAGTGGGTTTCTTGATTATCACACTGATGAATCGCCCTTCTGGGCATAGCGGTGCAGAATAAATAATAAGACGCCACTTATAGTGACATGTTACGTTTTATCAAAGGTCTACTTTGATTTTTGCTGCCCCTTCACACTCTGGCATGCAAGTTCAGATGGGGTTCAAATTCTCACCATTCATTCCAGTCATGCCCCTTGATCATTTGATGAGACGTTCTAAAGATAGCATTGCTGCTGTGAGGGATTGCCAGTAAACATTTGGTAATGGTTACATCTTACATACAGCTTACATAAAAGCCATAATCTGTTTGGTTTAAAAGAAAATGCACAGTGCAACGTGGAAATTATCTTTGCCCTAGTATCCTGCTAGTATCTGGGTAAATCTGAATATGTAGATGTTGGAACAATACTGCCACCTGCTGTCACGTTCAACAAAAAAATAAGGTTTGCAGAGCACATTGCTTTTGGAGAAAGAAGAAACACTTAATATACACTATAAATTTAATCAACTTTTATTATTTCACAGAGTTTTGATGTGGCTTTGTTTTTTTAAAGAAACAACACAACTGTGTTTAGCCAAACAGAATATTGGTAATGTCAGGCATTAACTTTACATTACATTTAAGTTTACATTTACATTTTTATGGAACATATTACACAGCCAGGTGTATTGAAATTTTATGTCAAACTCTACTACCTCCATGGTGACAGCACACATTAATATATTCAGATATTTCTGGAATGATGTTTCTAGGAATACCTTTATCTATTAAAGGAATGACAGAAAAGGAAAGAACACATGAATGGCATCTTTTGAGTGCAACTATAAAGGAATGCATACCACTCAGTCTATGAATTTAGTTAAGATGCCTTCCTGTTCATATTAGGTATTACGTAATATTAAGTAATGATAGATCGGTGTGGTATAGGCCTGTCATGATAATTACTACATCGACTTATAGTTCAATATATGCAAGCTGAACAATATTTTTTGTGGTCAATATGCAATTAGCAATATGATAAGATCTGAGCTGAAGAGGAATTATGAACTTCTTTCAGTTTTATTGTTTATCGCCTATATTTACTTGCACTGTAGTGCACATCAAAATTTGTTTTCGTGATAGACCTAATGTGGTAAAGGCAATATAAACTCTTGGTGTAGTGGGTTTAATCTAAACATGTTCAACTCATTGTCTCACTTGATGTTACAGTGAGGAAGAGGTGGGATCCAAGCTCAAAAGTCCATCATGTCTGGAGCCCCTCCTCTTATTTTCTTCTCCTGGGATTCTGACCAGGCTTTGTTGATTGTTCTCTTCATCTCATCGTCTCCTTCATCGTAAATCTTCTTGAGCATGTTCATCAGGCCATCACTGGGATCTGAATTGTCATCCATTTTTGGTTTGCTATTGAAGAACAACAAGAACATAAAGTCCTGTTAGGGCATGTCTTTAGAAGCAGTATGTCACGATGCCAAGGACTCTCACTTACTCTTTGTCTTTCGACTGCTTTTCCACTTTTGTTAAGTAGTCCCACTTTTGTGTGGACTGTTTCTTGCACATTATCAGAAGCATGTCTGTTTTTATCTATTAAAGAGAAAAACAGATCTTATTTGGTCACCTAATTGTTAATTTAATTACTTAACTGTCACTGTAACTCATCTATCTTAAATTAGGTCTTATCCTACCTTTTTATAACTGTCCTTCTCATTGATAGGGTGTAATAAGCTTAGAATGGTCATCTGGTGGTTTTTTCCATCAAGTTCCTTTACCAGCACAGAAAATGAACTGAAAAAGAACAAATATCATTGAAGACAGAATGCAATGTTAGTTATCTTTGGTGTTTCATAACAAAAGATATGGCAGCTTTTAATGACATCACATTCCTTTTGGTAATAACTTTCGTCAAAATATAATTTATTTTTGTAGAATATCACAACATAGAGCTAAAATGTAAATCCATGTGTAAATCTGCTTGATCTAGAGTAGTCGTTGGAACAAGGCTGCCACCTGCTGCCATCATATTAACACAACAGAATGTCCACACATTAATTTGCTGTGGCTCAGATTTTTGTGAAACACCAGTTAATTTTAGCAGGTATGTAGTACTTACATACTATGTACAATACAGTTCAATAGCTCGTATCAGTTATTCTATTCAAAAATTGACAAAACAAATCCTATTATTAGTTCTTCAAAAAGTTTACCTTTCTGTAAAAGTGACTTCAACATTTTCTGATGGAATCTTGTGCACATCCTTCAGTGTGAGGTAGATTTTCACAAATTTATCAGACTGATCCCACGCTGCAGAAGAGAAACATTCTTATTGCCATTTTTTTTTAACCATGACACTGTCCTAAAATGTCACTATGTGAGGATTATACTATACCATAGTTTGTGATTTTGACTGTGTATGCCACTTTAGATGCTGCTGAGGAATTCACATCTTTTCTGGCAAGTTGCTCCTTCTGTTGTTTTTTGCCTGAGAGATCTTTCTCCACTTTCTTTATCTCTTGTGTCAGCACATCTTTAACTCTCTTTCTCTCAGCCTTCTCCAAAAGGGACCCAAGTTCTGTTAAGTCTGCCTCCAACTGATTGATCTGCACGAGAAGGTGTACAATGGAACATTTAGAAAAGTGCATTAAATATTAAGGATTTGTCTGGAAAATGTTTGTATTAAATGTTTCATCAATATTTTTTAAACAAGACTTCCACCTACTGTTAGCCATTCTTTATTTCATAATAATAGTAACGCTTTATTGCATTTTCTTGAGAAGCCTCTCATAGCGCTACACTATTGCTATAGCGTAGTTCGCACGTTAACATTTGGAAATCATCTTACATTGCAGACATTTCAATGAAAGTGTTATTTTGATTTAAGTAGAAAGTATGCACAACAACAGAAAAATATAAATCATAGTTTCATGCTAAAAAGATTATCATTATTTTATTCATTAGCAGAGCACTGTATTAACTGTTAATGCTTTAAAACACCTGGCACACTAAAGTATGTGAGAATATATACCAAAACACATTAGGACATACCCCGTGACATTAACGCCAATGCTCATTTATAGGTTTCATAAAATCCGCATGTCGTTGAAGTTTAAAATGTTAGTTTATTTCTTGCATAACATCTCTCATTGATTGGCGGCGTTTCTGTTGTTGCTAGAATATTCCAGCCAACTCGGGACTATGACAGTTCACACAAACCCGTTGATTTTGAAAGTAAAACTCAAAGTGAGAATGGGGTTGTCATTTTATCATTATTATTTATCATTCACTACTAACTGTTATGTGAATGAGAATTGCCCTAAAACCCTAGAGTTGGCTGAATTAGAACCTTGAAGCTAGCTTGGAGCGGATCATTTCTCAGTCAGACACATCCGTGCGCTCTGATCAAAGGACATGAGTAACCTCATTTGTCTCGTCATAAACACAGTATATTAAAACAGAATCCGCTTTACCTGCTCCGTTAGATCCATTATACTTCTTTATTTTAGTGACGGTAATGAAACGTCCTGTTTTCAATACAACGCACGCGCCGCCCGGTCTCCTTCTAGTTTCAGTTTCTTTTGGCACCTCAACTAGTACCTCAACCATATACTGCCACCTAAAGGATGTTAGGAAAATGTACCCAAAAAATAGTAACCGCATTTTGTCTTCATTTTAACAGACATACTAATGTTTTAAAACGCAAAGTCTATCGAAGTATTTTATTTCCCACAATAATGATTCAATAATGATTCCAATAATAGAAGAAACTGCAAAGCTGCCTTTCACAACAACTTGAACTGGACTGAAGGCAATTTTAGTACAATAGTTTACGCCTCACCCATAACCTCCTATTGTCATTCTTGCTACTTCTTTCATACTGTCTGTGTATAGTTTACATGTTTCTCTCAACTGAACACAAGCCCCACAGGTAAAATCTCCTACCTAAGGTAGGGATGAATTGCAACAGCTCACTGGTTCTGACAGGCTGCCCCAGTGGCACTGGATGGGTCAAATGCAGAGGATATATTTCCCAGGGACAATAAATAAAAGTGTAGTTTACAGATTACTGCATTTAAATTCAATTAATATTTATTAACAATGAAAATATATTTACAAAGAAAAGGATAGTATATCATCATTTTATCTGTGGTCATAATATTGCCCACCATTACACTGACTGTCCACATTTGAATAAACCACGATGAGTTAGAGAGAAACAAGTCTCTTAACAATTTGTAGTATCACCATCTTGCTCTGAGAATACCAGACATCTGGTTGTGGTCAGCTAAATCACGAAAGACGATTCGGCTAAGTCTCCACCTTCGTTTCACTCCTCTTGGCCTTGAAGTCATTATACACCTATTGCGTATCCGCACAGGGCAGCTGTCCCTGGGTAATGCTGCTATTTCCTTATCTGCCACCTCCTGCAAAACAAAAAAATCCAAACATGTAATTATGTAACTTTTCTGGAGCAGCACCACCACATGCTTGTCTCTAATGAAATGGTATTGCTTTGTCTGGAAGGTTCTCATGATTACACTCATCATTGTCCAGGGGCTCAAACACATGACGTAATCGGGCAAAGTTACAGGTTAAATCTGTGGAGATGTGACTCCACTCATACTAAGAATTAATGTTTTTACAAGTATTTTTCCAAAAATCAAGATAGGTTTAATTCTATACTGTTACACATTCAAAGCATCCTCAATCTAGCAAAGCCCATCTACCTTCTCCAAGAAAAGTTGCACAATGCACCTTAATCAGCAAGGAAAGATAGTGAATTTATTTTACATTTTTTTAGATTGGAATTTTATTTGTATGCAGTGCAATACAGTCATGATCATGACTTGTACCTGAAGTGTCTTTGGCAGGATGGTGTTTTTTCTGATAGCATTGATCCGCAGTCTTTCATCAGCATAATCAAAGGCCATTTGTCTCCTCTTCACATCTCGGAGCATCCTCCAGTCTACATAATAGTCTCTCACCTGCTCCACAGCCGCCCAACAGCTCCTCAGGACCTGCACAGAGGACAGTACTTAAACCTTTGAAAGGGCACCACTGACACAGAATTAATGCGTTGTTAGGGAAATTTTCGATATCGCTTATTGATGGTAATCAGATTCTAAAATGTGGTTACCGGTATGTCATATTTCCAGATGGGGGAAAGCCTCACTCCTTCCTACTGACTTACTATTTTACATAGTACTTTGCGCAAAAATATCCAAAAGGTAAATACACAAATGTTGAACCTGATCATTTCTATTATTAACACGGTATTAATCAAAGTTCAGCATTTTAACGATATGCATTTAAGATGCCAAATATTAGTATTAATATTATTGGCCAATAGAATGCTGTGATGGCATCAGAAACTAGCAGTTAGGCAATATCTTCGCATTATGTGAATCAGAAGACCTCAGGTATGTCCTTCTGCTGACGTTAGCTAATATGCTATGGAGCAATAGGTACAGCAACACAAATGTAAACCGAACTTTTTGGCAACTGCGCTATTACAATGGCCGTAAATCATATTACTAATACTACAAATAATGGCCAAAGAAAATAAACAATGTTTGTATACCTGCTTTGGAGCAAACAGGGTAGAATAAAGGGCATTTCTTCCTAAACATGTTAAACTGCGGAGCGCCATATTTGCGCCAGCCTCTTCTTCGTTTTATCGATTTACTGCCTGTGTGCCTGGCGCCCCCACTGTCCAAATGCATTACAACAACTTTTTCACTTTGCTGTGAAACTATGGGCGATTTCTTTCTGTTTTCTATGTTAGATTTTTCAGGCTTCTCAACACAGATTTACGATTATATCAGGCAATGCAGATGCGGGTAAGACTAGTTAGTATATGCAATTTTTTGTTGGAGAATATAGTTCAAGAGCATAGTCACTAATGTAAATGATCACGTTTTGGATATTTGTAAAAGTATTTAAAACTCCACATTTTATTTACAGCAGTTGATTACACTTTCGTACTATAAGTTTGTACGAGAGAGCTCAAGGTTTTAAAGGATAGCCTACATAGAAGGAATATACATGTTCTAAGATTACCAGACCATTTGCAGTAAATGCCACATCCTGTAGAGGGCAGCAATCCACCACAGAATGGGGGAACAGTTTTTTCTTGACTAAAAATCTAAAGAAGATGGACATGGTGGCCTGAGCCTAAACCACTATTATGTTGATGTTGATGCATTGTTTTCTTGAACATTTATAGACAATATGAATATGTGGTGTTTTCACTAATCAACAAGCTGTCAAGGTAAGGGATAGGATATAAGTCTACAATAAAATTAATAATTTGTTACTGGTGGATCTAGTTAATCCAGTCTATCAAGTCCCCCTTAAGAGATGGAATAAACAGGGTGTTCTTGTGTAAAATTGCATTGTCACCTGGGAGAAGTTAATAGATAGGCCTAGTTATATTTTTGATATTAAATAAAAGATAAAACTTGAGTTAGTTAGTCTACTACATGCATTTTTATTGTGCTCTCCACAGATCAGACCTGTAAATCTTAGGGTGAATGCCATACAAGCTTTGTATGATTTTTAATATGAACCAAAGAGGTTATACTATTTTTGGATCTTTACCAGCATGTTGTCAGCATAATTTATTACTGACATTCCACAGACATCTAAAACAAAATAATCAAAAGAATTCTTTACTAGCGTGTAAAACATTCACCACCATATCTCCTACAGGTCCTGATGTGAAGAAGATGGCTGATGTCTTCTCTTTGATGGCACAGAGATCCACATACTCCATCTTTGAATTCCTCGCAGTCATGTGAGTAGATATGAGTCTGTTCTGCCTGCAGTGTTAACACCGGTGAAATATAAGTTAATAAAATTTTACCATTTGGCCTCGGCACCTCAAGCTACATGTATTTCTATGGGGACTCTCCCAGTTCACATAAAGGATATAATCACACAGAAGTATTCCTTTGGTCACTCAAATATTTGACGGCATTCTTCATGTGTTTTCATTTCCAGCTGCCTAAACAGAATAGTTAAATTTTTCTACCTCATAATGTTGAATTGTCTATAACCTGGTACTCTTTAAACATATAACATATTTTATAATGGGTCAGAATTTATGAGAGGGTACATCTCTCTTATGGGGAACTTAAATCATGTTCAGACATATATACATATAAAAGATGTGAGTCATATACTATGGCATTCTCCATGGATACCTAGCAGACATTTATTTAAGTTGCCATATCATTAAATGCCAAGTAAGGGAATGGTCGTACTGCAGCATTAATAACCACCATGCATCAATGGGGGACATGAAGAAAACTATATTCACCATAGTTTTCTATCATAGTTTTTTCACACATGGAGCATTTATATTAACATTTTCTCATTAATAATTTCTTCAGTAACCTACAGCTGTTTCTTTGACAGGTTACACTAATTTCTATATGGCCTATGATCTATTTCTAGGTTACGTTGTATGTAAAAAGAATACTTACCACAATAACACAACCAGAAACCTTTAGTGGGCTACCTATACTGAACTCAGTGTGGGCTAACAGTTTTCAAAAGAATGATTGCAAGCATACATCAAAATTTGTCATTCTTTCTTCACCAAATGTTTTTTAAAGTGATGACATTTTGCTGCTTTAGATTAATATATAAATACATACATACATACATACATACATAAATACATAGATACAGCATACAGTTAATGGTTCCACAAACATGGATACCCAAATCACTACACTTCAGCTACCTTTACTTTTACTATATGTTCCTGTCTGTTGGCGACTACAATGGCAGCTTGTACTGACAGATTTTTTCAAACACTACACAATATTACAGTGAATGTGGTAAAGTAATTATATGTGCCTTTAAAATCTCAGCCCCTACCATGAAACCGCACTGAAATGCATACAGGTATAACGTAACCATGAGACGCTTCCTGGACTCTGTCATAGACTAAAATAAATAATTCTTCTGTTGTAAAGCTCATAAGAAGGAGTCATAGAGTTTGGACATGGCATTAGCAGAAATATGAAAGATATAGTCACATTGGTTACAGTAAATGCCATGCAATAAATCATATAAGAAGCCAGCCATTCAACCATTCACAGCCAACCATGTCAAGGTTTGATTGTGGAAAATTTGAGAAACCTTTAGCTTAATAGGAAAAACTAAATCAATAAATATGCAATCCTTCCCAAATAAAAGTAAAAAAAAAAAAAACACTTCTTAATAATACTGAAAGACAAGACTGAAACCACTATATAAACAACTTTTGTTTTGCACACTGTACATACTAGATACTACACCTACCAACTAGTACCACTACTAGTACTCCATAAATAAGCTAAAGTAGTGTATAGCAGCACCACAAACAATAGGTACTACCACCACAACGGGCAATACTTAATGCTGCTGAGATACTTGTTCTTTTGTATAATTGTACCTTATTTGACACAATTCTCTTGCTATCTTTGCTGCTTATTTTGAATGTACAGTATATATATTTTTGCTCTTTGTTATTATATTTATTGTGATGCGTGAGCTACTGTGTCCAAATAATTTCCCCTGTGGATCAATAAAGGTCATCTAAGTCTTAAGTCTAATTTGTTCAGAGAGGATAAAAGTTTGGCGACTTGTTTCTCCCTGACTCCAAGTGCGTGTCTAATTTAGAAATGCAAATGATGTTACCTCTCAACTACAGTATATTGAACTGCATGATAATGTCTTCCATAATGTAGGGGTGAATCAGCATATTCCACATCAGTCCAGGAAGTCCCTCCTCCCAAAGTTATCATTGCCCATTTGACCCTGATACAGCCCATTTAGCAAGAGGTCCTGACCTTATAAGGACGAGGGGGATCGGGCAGCTTTTCAAGTTTCAGGAATGTCTAGTATTTCCGATAGAAAACAGGTTAGAATATGGTCAGGTTTAAGGTGACGATAAAGTGGTTACATAAAATCCATATGTCAGCCCTTACTGTTTAAATCTATGCAGGTCAAACGATCATCAGTATACATTTATTATAATCTGATTTGCGTTTATTTATATATTTGACTGGGACAGTCCGTGGATGATATTATTATTTTTTCTCTTTTCTTTCTGTTCGGGATATGCCTTGATTCAAGTTTTTTCTTTCCTTGTAATCTGATACATTGATTCACACTGACTTATAGTAAAATATCCTACAAATTAAAAAAGATATTTGTCTTTGGGGAGGCTGGATCAATGATGGTGTAAATGGAAATAAACTATAAATGATACAGATAAAGAGGGGAACAGACACATCTGGCTTTATACTCAGTAAGGAGACCACCAAGGTATTAGGAAACACAGCACACACTTTGAAAACAAACCCATGTGACCCTGGAGAATCTGTTGGTGGGTAACTCAAGGTACTGTTTTACAAAGACCCAATCATGTTCCTCAAACCACTGATTTACTATGTGTTGACTCATACCGCCACTAATGTTACAAACAGAAAACTGACACATTATACGATACATCATTACTCTACTGGCACCACATCTGCAATTATAGAGACTATGCCCTTGTCTCAGATGTATATAATGGAAAGGACCTTACCTAGAATTAGCTCAGTACTACATTCATTGAGCTTTGTGATTTTCTATGTTTTTAATACATTTATTTTGTAAATTATTTAATCGAAAGTATTATAGTATTATTAAGACTCCCCAGCAGCACCTGCACCTGTCTTAAAGGTTGTATGGAGGATTTTTTTTGGTTTCAAATTGTCAATGATAGCATTATAGAGATGCAGTAGCCTTGTAATTATGATGACCAAAAAAAAGAGAATAAAAATTCATCAACTCTGGACGTGGTGGGGCCAGCTAAACATTTGCCAATAGATAACGACACTGCCTCGTTATCTGTTAGCTGACAGGCTGTCAATCAATCTCCCTACGTTTCTAGCGTAACTGACTTGCCTGCGCACCGCCGGTACGTGGCTTACGTACGCCTGTCACGCAGTCCACAGACGCAAGCCGCACAGACGCTGTTTACTCCACCAACGCAACAGTTCTTAGCGGCTTTTTTTGACCTATATCTTCCTCGCAGTTAGCACAAAGTTTGTTGCAATGGCAGACAAGAATCCAGGAGCAGTTAGCCGCAAAAGAAAGTCCGTTTTTGAGATTGCTGAAAGAAGAAGACAAGGGGAAAAGCAGCGAAGCCAAACTAAGGTGATTCTTGAAGATTCATTCCAGCGATGGCGCAACTGAAGCAGACGCA